CCGGTGGCGCAGCAGGTTGAGCGCTGCACTGTGAAGCTGTCCGCAGCCTCTGCAGTGCACGTTCAATTCCCGGCTGGCCAGGGAGATACCCACATGGCACAGCAGCCCTCTCCTGTCTCGCCCGCTGCTCCCCTCAGCAGTGTCTTCAGTCCGTCTGCCTGTTCTGTTCCCCGCTCTCTCTGGTGAATCCTCTCACCCTCCCGCGCCTCTGACATGTACCCCAGTTCTTGTATAAGTAAATAAATCTTAAAAAAAAAATTTCAATAAATAAGACTTTTATAAAATTAGCAATGTGGAAAGGGCAGAATGCATCAAGGTCATCCTAATGCCTCAGCTGAGGAAACTTTTGAAAAGCCCCAGGTACCATGTGCAGGAATTCAACACTTACTAACAACCCAGCCAGTGACCGTGTGAGCAGGAGACCAGTGTGAAGGGACGCAGGGGTGACCAGATCTTCTATCATTCCTTTTACAGCGGAACGAACCTCAGGCCAAAGAGGTCAAGTGACCTAAGATCTAGAGAAGTCCACATCCCTGGAATCCTGTCCACAGCATGTTCGTTTTCAAATATGATGGCGCCCTGGTTTCCCTAGTCGCTGCAGAGCTTGGGCGCTCACAGCCAAGGTAACCCCAAGGCAACTTCGGCTGTAGACAGATTTTGAACGACATCAAACGACAGAGATCTGATCCCGAAGGTGCCGGAGCGCTGTGCTTCCCACCTACGCCGGGGCTCTGGCCGTCGGGGCAGGCCATGCGGGCAGGGGCCCGAGGAAGCCTCTGGGGATGCAAAAGGGACGCGGGAGCTGCATTTTTGTGCTCGCCATAGAGTGAAAATGTTTAGGTTGTTTTTATTTTTCACGCCCGCAGCAGAGTTCATCTGAAGTTCTGCCCACACACTCCAGCGGTCCCGACCGGCACCCCCGGCCCGTCCTCTGGCCCGCTCGGCCCTCGCTCCTCACACTGCCGGCGTCCTCCTGCCTCGGCGCCTCGCCGGGCCAGTGGAGCTGTCAGAAGAGAATGATCTCATTTCCCCGATACCAAATACAGCGAGGAGTCTGCATTTCCACCAGCCACCCCAGAATCCCAGCGCGGCAGGGAGCAGATTTTTGTCTTGTTTGGGTCCCTGCCGTCCCGGGGCCGCGGCTGGAACAGGTGAGCAGCTACGACGAGCACGAGGGGGTGACACCGCCATCCCTTCTGACACACGGCTGGGACTGTCCCCGTGCCTATTTGACCCTAACCCCCAAGTTCTCACTCGCCTGCCTGTTCAGACTTCACACCTGCAACGGCTGCCCCGCCTAGACTCACGTTCCTCCTCAGATTGCCCGTCAGCACGGTCACGCTGCACGGTCTGAGAAGTGAAAATCCTCCCTTTGCCCACCTCCCCCTCAGCCTCCTCCCATTTGTTCCCCCGCAACTTGAGTTGTCCATGCTTGCTGACTCTGCAGTGCCCCCCCACCTGCTACCTATTAAGGGCCCCCCCAAACTCACGGCTGATCCACGGCCCCACCTTGCTTCAATAGCACTTGATGTGACCCAAGTGGAGTCTCCTTTGGAAACCACTATGGTTTTGGGGAACCACCTTTCTGTCACGGAGAGAGCTCTCCAAGTCTCACTGCTGGCTGCTCGGCCTCGCCCTTTTAAACGTGTAGAGGCCCAAGGTCCATTCCTCCCTCTTCTGGATCTACAAGATCACTGCTCAAAACAGGGCCCAAACCAGCTTGGGCACCTGAGGCGCTTGCAGGGGATGGAGTACCTCACGATTGCACCAGACCCCCAGCATCAGCGGCACTGCCAACCAGCCAGGTGGCTCGTGTGCCCATCAGATGTGAGCAGCACCGCTCACCTGAGTGGCTCCTCGCATAGGTGGGCTGAAATGATGGGCTTCTGATGTCCCCCGGCGCCCGGCTGCTTTCCACTAGACGTCACCCCTGGATCGCAAAGCTAATGGAGAACAGCAGCCTTGATTTTTCCCTCAAGCCAGACGCTGGAGTCGTCCTCACCTTTGCCGCTCCTGTCGTCTGGACCTTCCAAACGCAAGGAGTCCTCCCGCTGAGCACGGTTTCCACCCTAGTCGAAGCCATCAACATTTTTGGTGCAGACCTCGGGTCTGTATCTCCCTTTGACCGAGGCTCCCTACAAGAACTATTGCACGCAGCATCTACAGTGATCTTGAAATAACATTAAGTCCCCCCAAAGGGCTTCCAAGGGCCCCATTTTTAGCCCTTCCCAGGGTCAAATGCTCTGTCAAAGCTGACTCGCTTGCTCTCTTCCTCAACCTTTACCTGCCTCACTTTTCTCCTTCCTGATCTCTGCTCAGATAACTTCCTTAGAGACCTTCTTTAATCACCAGACTCCCTTCATACTTATCCTAGCTCCTAACTCTGCTTCTCTCCTTCCAGCCCCTGACGTTAAGAGTAGCTGTACCCCCACCCTGAGCAGACTTGTTCCTTCTGAGCCAGTGCCTTGCAGGCCAGAAGCACCCAGGGCCAGAGTGCCCTTGGAGGAGCCTTGGAGACCAGGGACAAACGCCCCTGAGCACCAGCACTGCCATGTGCTTCAGTCACACACTGCTGGAGGGAGAGGTTGGAGCTTCAGTAGGTAGCGATTTTCAAAGCCTGGCAGCAGTTGGGCAACATTTTTGTACATTAGAATCGCCTGGGAGGCTGCCCTAGTGGCACAAGGGGTCAAGCACAGCACTCTGCAGCTGTAGGCAGCCACTGCAGCACTGAGTTCAATCCCCAGCCTACCAGGGGGCTGACCCACAGGGCACTGCAGACCTCTCCTGTCTCACCTGCTGCTCCCCTCAGCAGTGTGTTTCAGTCAGTCTGCCTGTTGTTTCCTGCTCTGTCTCTGGTGAATCTTCTCACCACCCCGCCTCCACCCTGCATCTTTGCCCTGTATCCCAGTTCTTGTTTGCATAAATCAATCTTTTTTTAAAAAAATGAATCACCTGGGGATGTTTTAAAAATTCTAACACTTAAGCCACATTTCAAATGAATTAGATCATCACTGCGGGGTGTGGGACAGAGGTGATCAGTATTTCCCTAAGCTTCTGAAGCAATTCCAAGGTGAGATAAACTTTGGAACCAAACTGCATGAGCTAGTAAGCGAGAGACAGTACATGAAATGTCTAATACTTGAAAAAAGAGAAACCCCAGTCATAACGTTATGCCAACTTCAGACTTCTATTTCCCATGTGATTAGGAAACAAGAAAAATAAACCCATTTAAACCTTAGGACTGAAAGTGCCCATCTTCCAGGACCGTCCACGGTTGTTTTCCTGTCAAGTTCAATCCACTTGCCCCAATGCTCCCAGGCAAACAGACACAGCGTGGACTTCTGCGAATCTCATCTGGACGCCTGCGGGAGGCTGTGCATGTGCTGCCATGTTCAACGGTGCCGGGTAAAGAGCTCCATCCTGGGGACAGGACGTCATCACTAAGACAAAGGCTACCTCCACTCTCCAGAGAGGATTTCTTCACAACTCAACTAAGTTACAATGAAATTAATTCTCTATCATGTTATCTACTATTTTTTGCTCAAGGAGTAATACAATCAACTGGTTCCAGGCATCCATCAAAATATCCTCAGGACAGAAGATAACCAGATATTGCGCATTACCTGTCTCCAAGTTCACCATTAAACTGTCTTCATACCTCAGAATGAAGGACAAAATTAATCAAAGAGAAACATAAGTCATTTATCAAATTCCTCACTATAGTGCAAATATTACAGATTTTAAAAGAAAGCTGGAGCTATTTAAGTTGACCTCATATTCTACAGGAATAACCTGACACCAGGTGCAGTGACACGGAATGCCTGACATTCACTCAGGAGCGCTAGCAGAGGAAAAAAAACATTTTCTTTTTCCAAACAAGCAGAAAGGACTTTTCACGTTAATCAAAAAGAATCAGGATCATCAGATTAGGAAGGAGGAATTAAAAGCATGTTACACACAGATTTAAAGGACTAGTCAATCCACTGTCCGCCAATCAAACAATTCTCTGAATATATGGACACGTATCCCTCATATATGGATCCTTAAGAGAGCAGAATCTGGGAAATTCAATTTACAAATACATTATAAGTTGCATTGCTGTAATGAAGTTAAGTTCATTAAACATGAAAGCATCGAACAGCACCAATACCAGAAGGTTCAGAAAGTAAACACACTAGTACTTAAATAATATAGAATCACTGATTGGGGCAGAAGTAAACTCTAGCCACTAACAGAACAATTTAAACTGGTCTGACATAAAGGTGATGTTGAGCGATGCCTCTGTGCCTTCCCCACCGGCGGGCACGTGGCCCGGCATCCTGGCAGCGGAGCCGTGGAAAGGATTACTCAGGAAGATGGAGTTTTTAAATTGCTAACCTTGAGCCACGATGCTGCATTACCCAAATTTTGCTGACAAAAGTCAATGGCAGCATTTTTTGATTCTAACTACGCTTACGTGGCCCATGGAGACCAGCGCGCAAGGCCCCTGGGGCGCACGGGGTAGATGCACCCGCCGTGAAGCCGCAGGAGGTGGGAGCAGCTGGGCTGGGGCGCGCATCAGAGGGCTACTAAGGAAAAGGCAGCAGCAAATACTCTATCTACTAGGAGCACATCATTCCACATGGAATCCCAATTACTTTTATCTCTGGCTCCTCGACGTCTTGAAAACTAGAGCTGAGCAAGTATGTGCAGATTTGGGGCCAGAGAGAAAGCAGCGCCAAGTGGTACAGTGTTCACACTTTGTTACCCACAATAACACTTGCAGAGAATTCCAACTGTATCGAATTTTTTTTAAGCACACAGAACTTAAAACGCTAGCAAAACTTTGGTGTTTACCCAAAACAGCACTGCAGTTGTCAGTGAAAATGCAATAGGCGTGGCTTGTGACCTTGTAATGTTCCCGACACCCTGCCCTGCTCCCTGCTCCTCTCCTCAGGTGACCCGAGCGCTACCTGGTTTACAGTATTTGGTAACTCAGTGCAGAAAATTAAGGTCACAGACAAAGTACAACAACTTTTAATACACCATTAATACTAATGATTAAAAATTATTGCATAGTCTTATGCATTTACCCTAAAACATTTTCTGAAAGTAAATTCGGAAAGAATTATATAAAAGACAAACAACCCTTTAAAATGTGGATGGCCTTTACTACCTCGATCTTCTGTCCTTTTTTGTCTTTTCTGGACCTTTGTCCATTGTCTTCTCGCTGTCTCCCCTGCAGTTGGGGCAGTACCACTTCCCCTTTGGTTTATACGTGAGTGAAACGCAGGAGAAATGAAACCACTCAATTGAACACTGTTCATTGTCACACCCGATCATTTCCCCGTAAGACACTTGGTCACACAAACAGTACGTAGGTTCATTGGGGTCGATGGCAAACTCCACGGGGGACGCCTCCCTCTCCTGCTTGGCCTTGGAGCGCTTCTTTTTCTTGGCGGACTTGGACTTCTTCTCCTTCGGCGGCTGATCGTCACAGTCTTCAATCCCGTTCGTCATGTGACATAAGTCACGGCTTTCGCTGGTTCTCTGTCTCCGGGGTCTTCGCGACGATCTTTCTGGCTGGCTGGAATCCAGCTTTGCTTTGTCTGCAGCGCGCTCACTGTCAGCAGGATCCTGGAAACACTGTGAGTGTAACTCCATTTGCCTCGCCCGATTTTCCACCAACTCGAGCATCTGGGTGACAATCTGAATCTTCTCATCGCCCAGCTCTTGACTATTTATTAACGCTCTCTGGAGATGCTGCTGGAGGCGTTTTTTCTGGTTCGAGTCATCTTCTTTCTTGTATTTTTCATAGACATCATCAATTTCCTTTAATGTTTCTACAAAAAGAAAAGAAAAATTAGTTTATTTTGTTAGTACATGTAACTATTTCCAAGTTCGCTCTTTCCTGCAGACTTGGTAAAGTCAGAACTAACCATAAAACCACACTCCTCTATGTAACATCACTGAAACTCTACTTGCCATACAAAGGCCACAGGTTATGTGATGGGAAGGTGTATTTAGAAGTAAAATAATAAAAAGAAAGAACACAAAACTCTAAGTCTCATTAGCTTATATTAAAAGGATAAAAGACATGAGGCTATTATAATCAAAAGGATCTGGCATAGCAGGAACACCGTCCCACTTGAGAGCCTAGGCCTATAATGCCAAGTCACTAGTATGTCATTTGAACCTCAAAACAACATCGTATGTAAGATTTACCTGCTGGACTCCAGCTGTAAAACATTTTTAAAAGAGTCTCTAAGACTAGGCTACCGATCACTGTCCAACTGTGTCAACAGGTTTTACAGCTCAACCAATGACTTTCTACATGATTCCAGAAATGTCCCACCTTCCCACCCATACCATTCTGCTGCCTGAGTATTCTTAAACCAAGCATAAACAGGAACTCTTGGTTTCTCCATCCTACTAGTTTTGATGGTTCTTTTATGTTATCACATGGGAGATTCTGAGAATTTATTTCCAGAGTAGGTTTAGGTTCAGGTTCTGGCATCAAGTGACTAAGCTACCAACAAAATAAATAACAGCAGAGTCAGCACTGGATCACTTGCTATTGCAGATAACTCAGCAGTTGGTTCTAAGCTTGCTGAACTGCTGATCTGGATATTCTGTAGCACGTTGGACATGTTTAGATCAATTAAAAATAGCTGCATATCTAGACGATATACAGCAATTTGAAAACACAGTTCCAGATGTCACCAAAAATTTACATAAAATTAGTTTTTATTAGCATCTGCTCTATAAAAATTCTTTTTAGTATTTATTTATACATACAAGAACTGGGGTACAGGCCAGAATCTTGGGAGGGTGAGAGGATTCACCAGAGACAGAGCAGGGAACAAAACAGGAAGATCGACTGAAACACACAGCTTAGGGGAGCAGCAGGCGAGCCAGGAGAGGCCTGCTGCGCCATGTGGGTCACCTCCTTGGCCGGGGATCGAACTTGTGCTGTAGTGGCTGTGGTGAGCCTCATAGGATGCGACTTAACCCCTTGCGCCACCAGGGAGGCCCCTGCTCTATAAAAACTCTTATGAAATATAATATTACCTGAAAAAGTTCTCAGTAAAGGTGGCAAAACAAAAATTAGCTCATTTATACCACATGGTATACCGCTGGGGTTTTTTTATACCACTGCTTTTTTATATTCCTTATATTACTCTATAAGAACACAAGGGTTCAATAAGCCAGACACATAAACCAGGGCTCTGTATAAATAAATAAAAAGTATTCAGCACAACTCTTAGGAATTAGCTCCTTTCTGGAAATTGTAGCTACTCACACTTGATGCACAACTATTTAACTCGGGACATGTGACAATGCCCACTTGAGGGTACACACACCTGCAGAGCATTTTCTTTACAAAGTCCACACCTAGGCCATTTGCCCAGGTTAAGTCAGAAAGGAACCTAACTTTCCTCTACGGTCCTAAGTAAATTATTTTCCCCTCAGGGACATAAAATCAGAGTTAAAAAACAAAGGCAATCCTTATTTCAAATGTTCTATATTTAATAACCAGGAGTCAGCGTTGAGTACATCATGCCAGCACATTTGTACATGAGAGAAAAATCCACATTTTAAAAGACATCTTCGCTACGAGAACAAAAGAAACTTACAGCACCCCTTCTCCGTGATCAAAATCCCTCATTTAAACCCCACAACAGGGCCTCCCAGGTGGCGCAGCGATTGAGTGCTGGGTTGCGAAGCTGCCCGCAGCCTCTGCAGCGCCGGTTCACTCCCCGGCCACCGGGTTAGGGTCCCACATGGCGCGCAGACCTCTCCTGCTGCCCGCTGCTCCCCTCAGCAGTGTACTTCGGTCTTTCTGCCTGCTCTGCTCCCTGCTCTGGCTCTGGTGAATTCTCTCGCCCTCCCGCGCTTCTGACTGTACCCAGTGCTTGTATAAATAAATAAATCTTTAAAAAAAAAAAAAATAAAAAAATAAACCCCACAACACCCCAATGAGGAAGCCTCACACCTGCCTGTGAAGACAATGAAGCCCAAGAGGCAACAACCCTGGACCCTGCACACAGGGACTCAGCTCCGCCTCTGCCATTTAAGCACTTTCTAAGCCGCATAGAGGCACTTGAAATGATCAAATTTTAGTTCAACGGTTATTTACCAAAGGAATTATGAATGAACATATTGGGACAAAAACAGAGGTTCTCTCTTAACCATACCCCAAAATGAGAAACTGTGAATTTCACAACTGTGAAAGTTTTCTTTACTTCTTACAAGTTTTTAAGGTTATTTTTAAAGTCCTTCAGAAATTTCTGAAAGTGTCTCAAGTAGGTAGAAATTTCTCTGCCTCTAAAATCTATGTCACTAAGTACTACAACAGTATTACATTAAAAAATAGAAAAAGTTTAAGAACTAAGAAAGAAATAAAAAACATGAAATCTGAGGAACACACAAGCACACGAAGCCAATGAACATAAAACTGAAAGCTGAGCATAGGAAACGCAAACAGGGTAAAAACCAGATCACTGTTTTTATATTAATCTCGAAACTAACCACAATCTTAACAGAGCTAAAAATTTTAACCGCCAAACCTTGTAAGGACCAATACTATTTCTCATGTAGCTAGAACTTTAATGCCTATTTACAATTCTAGATGATCAAGATGCTTTCCTCCCCAGAAGAAAACAGCTGAACTTCCGTGAAGACAAACCTCCTTTAAGAAATGTAAACACCTGCAAGCTTTGCACAATTGTTATTTGAAAATTTTAACACGTTCCAGCAGGCAATTCTTAAGCACATGCATATCATTTTGGATCACAGTTCACTTAAGTGCTCATGTTTGTGGAAAATACCACCAAAGTACTTTCATTTAAAAAAAAAGTTTAGGGCCTCCCTGGTGGCGCAAGGGGATCAGTCTCAGCACTATGAAGCTATGCGCAGCCACAGCAGCTGCTTCCCACATGGCGCAGCAGACCTCTCCTGTCTTCCCGCTGCTCCCCTCAGCAGTGTACTTCATCAGTCTGCCTGTTCCGTTCCCCACTGTCTCGGGTGAGTCCTCTAATGGGACGCACCTCTAGCCTGTACCCCGGTTCTTGCATGCATAAATATTTTAAAAAATTTTAGGGCCTCCCCTGATGGCGCAGCGGTTGAGCGAGCGCTGGGTTGCGAGGCTGCCCGCAGCCTCTGCAGCACCAGTTCCATCCCCGGCCACCGGCGAGGGTCCCACAAAAAAAAATAAATAAATAAAAATAAAAAAATAAAAACAAAGATATGCACCGGAAGTATCCAGGCTGCAGGGACAAATATTCACCTAATTAACTGGACACCTTTTTTAAACTCTTCATAACTTTTATCTGTAAGATGAGCCTTTACTTCACAGTCCCTGTGAGGATGAGATGAGTGTTCTGGACCTGACACAGCGAGTATGCCATCAACACTGTTCCCCGCCGCACCCGCCAGAGATCAGGCTTATCGTGAGTTCAGAAGAGAGAGCACAAGTCGTAAATTTAAAAACCCTTCAGTGTTCCAACATGCTGCGGGCCAGAAAACGTCAGCCCAGAAGTGAGTTCCTTAAAATCTAAATCGCAAGCTGTGCGGGGTCTAGGACCCCCCAGGGGGCTCAGGCAGCTCCTTCAGGTCTGCAAGGTCCCGAGTCCGCCCGCGGTCGGGCCCGTGGCGGGGGCTGGTCGCCGCCAACGGGCCCCACCGTCGCCCCGAGCAGCGGCTCTCGGCCCGCGGCCCGCGGCGAGCGGCGCTCGGAGGGGGGCGCCGCCGCCCCCGGCGGAGAAGGGCCCGGGAGCGCAGGGACGCCCGCGGTTGCCCCGCCAACCACCCGCTTCCGCCGCGGCCCGGAAGCGACGCGCCACCCGGAACTGCGCGGCCGCGGGGGCCCCGGGGCCGTGTGCGCGTCGCGACCGAGCTGCGGGCCGGACAGCACGGCCCAGCCCCGCACACCGGCCCGGCCCGGCCGAGGCCGCCCGCCGGCCCCGCCCCGCCCCGCCCGCGCCAGCCGAGTTCGCGGCGGCGGGAGCGCGCGCGGCCGCGCCCCTCCCACGCCGACGTCACGCGGCAGGCCCCGCCCGCCGGCCCGGCCCGCCACGCCCCCCGCCCGGGCCCGCGGGGACCCCTCCCCCTTAACCCTCGGCTCGCGGCGCGGGAGCGGGCGGCGGCCCGGAACTTTCCCCGCGGCGGGCGCCGGGCACCCCCGCCGCCGCCCGGCCCGCGCGGGGCTCGGAGGCAGGGACCCCGGGAGGCCGCCGGCGCCCCCTCCCCCCGCACGTTCCGAGGCGGCTCCCGCGGGCGGGGCCGGGCGGGGGCCGGGCCGGGGGCGGCGGGGGCGGCGGGGGCGGCCCACACCCCGGCCGGGCCCCGGGTCCGCGGCGCGAGGCGGGCGGGCGCCGGACCAAGGCGGCGGCTAAGATGGCTGATGCCCGCGCCCGCCGCAGCGCCGGGTCCGCAGTGGGCGCCGCCGGGCCCCGCCGCCCCGAGGGCCCCGAAGTCCCGGCCCCGTCGCGAGGGCCCGCGCCCCCCCCGGCCGGACCCCGCGGGGCTGTCCCCCGGGAGGCGCGGCGCGGCGGCCCGGCCGGGCGGGCGGGCGGGCTCGGCGCCTACCTTGATACTTGTTGTCCAGCTCGCGCAGCACCGACACGTTCCGCTGCATGTCGTGCGGCAGCGACTCCACGCACTCCAGGTAGTCCTGCACGTAGCAGCTCAGCAGCCGGCTGCGCTCCCCGCTCAGCAGCGCGGCCGGCGGGTAGAGCTGCTGCTGCTGCCCCAGCATCCTGCCGCCCGCGCCGCCGCCCCCGCGCCCGGCGGCCGCACATGCACCGGCCGCGCCGCCGCGGCGCCCCCGCTCCGCCGCCCCGCGCCGCGGGGACACCCGCAGCCGCTCGCGAGGCCCCGCCGCGGCCCCCGAGGCCCGCTCCCCCCGCCGCCGCCCGCGCTCCCCGCCCCCGCGGCGGCCGGCCCCGGGGCGGGGCGAGGCCCGGGCGCCCGCCTCCCGCCCCGCCCTCCCCCGCCCGGGCGCCGCGGGGCGCCCCCCGCGCGGCGGGCCCCGGCCCGGGCGGGCGCGCTCGCCGGCCCCCTCGGCGCCCCGGGCGGCTACGCGGGCCGGCCCGCCGCTCGGCTCGCCATGACAGGCCCGTCGCGGGCCGCGGCCCCCGTCCCCTCCGCGCCGGCCGACAGCCTCCCGCCGCCGGCCCCGCCGCTCCGCCCGCGGCCGCCTCTGCGCCTGCGCGCCGCCCCTCCCGCCCGGCCGCGGGGTTCGCATTCTCCCGCCGCGCCTCCGCCCTCCGGGCGATTGGCCTGTCAGCGGGCGGGGAGGCCGCGCCGGGCGGCCTAGCGGCGGGCGGCGCCCCGCCCCCTCTTAAAGGGGCAGCCCGGGCGGCCCCCGGCCCCGGCGCTCGGCGGCGCGGCCTCCCCCGGCGGGCGCCGCCTACCCGCTCCCGGCGCGCTGTCCCGGCTCGGCCCGGCGGGCGCGTCGGCCGCGGCCCCGCGCCCGCGAAGGAGCAGCGGGCGGCCCTTTCGGCGGCGACCCGGAGCGAGGCCGGCGGCGCGACGCAACCCCGCGCGCCGCGGGCGCCGCTCCCGGCATGCTTGGCGCCGCGACCCCCCGGCCCCCCCCCGACCCCCCCCGCGACCCCCAGTTCCCCCGGCCCCCGCCGCCCCCTCGGACCCCGCGGCCCGGGCTGGACGGCGGGGGCGGCCCCGGGCCCCGTTCCTCGCCTCCCGCCCGCCTCAGACCCTCCTCCCGGCGCGCCCCGCCCCCCTCCCGCGGACGCCCCGGGCCCCCCTCGGGCGCGACGCCCGCACCCCGCGCTCCCCGGCTCGGGCCTCGAGCGCGAGGCGTCGGCGACGCCCCGGGGCCGCCGCCCGGGCCGAGCCGAGGAGACGGCGCATCCGGGCGGGCGAGAACGTGGGCCCGGCGGGGACGCGGGTGGACATGGAGGGACTCCTCACGGAACGCCTGCTGTCTCGGGGTTCAGCCCGCGGCGGGCCACCCGGGGCCCGTGTCCTCGGCGAACGGCACCTTCGGGTTATAAAGTCCGTTTGAGCAGGTTGGGGTCCCCCGCGGGGCTGCACCCCCGGCCCGGCCTGTGCAGGGCGCTGCGGAGGCAGCCGGGGTCACAGTGCGCCCCGACGGGCACGAGACCCCTCGACCGTGACCTGGGGGGCTGTGAAATGCAGGACGAGACGAAGCTCCCCGGGGAACCCGACGACTTGGCGGCAGCAACGAGACATTACGGGGGGCGGGGGGTGTCCCCTGTGACCCCGGGTTTTGATCACCTGGACGTGAGTCCACGCGGGCGGTGCCGCGTATTTCTGAGAACCGTCGGGGGTTTTGTTGTTACCCTTTAAATCAGATGAAGCAGCCCGGGCTTGTCAGAACCAGTCACTGTTAGGAATTGAATTTTATTGGTTTTCCTCCGATCCTGGTGATCACTCCTGGCCTTTATTGAAGGCCTCAAATAATGCTAGTTGCCTTATTTTTTATTGATTCAGATTAGACGGGGGATGCATCTATGGATATTATTAAGCCCGGGAAGTCATCTGCAGCCCAATAAGGGAGCGTAGAAACCAGCAGCGAGAACAGGCGGTGATGCAGGACCCCTGGGGTGACTCCCGCAGCAACCCGGCGAGGCGAGGGGAAGACACGGATGCGTGTGAGGGGGGATTGGAGACCCTTACCACGTTATTTTCACCTCTCATAATTCTGCTCAACAGGCTGACATTCAGAAGAAAAAAAAAAAATCTGCCCGTATTGATATAAACCCGTGAAACACTCCTAATAAAGCAGGATGTGTGCATTATTTCAGAGGCGTGTTTCTCTCTGTGTTGATTGACAAATCCTAATCAGAAAGCTTATGCGACCGAAGTTTGAAGCAGCCTGTGTGGGGAGAGAGTATTGAAGGGGCAAAGCTTTTACCACAGTCCCTAGGCTCAGCTCTTGACCTTGCTTGTTTTTCTTGTCCTTTTCCTAATAATCACTAAACTGGAAATTTGGGGCCTGTTCAAAAGTAGGTTCCCTTACTCTGCTAAATGCGGTAATTAACAACACCGGAATTCTCAGCACCATAGGAAGTTTTTAGTAATATCCTACAAAAAATACAAAAAGGCAACTTAATTGCTCTAAACTATATTTTCAACCAAAAAGTGACCCTTAAAAAAAAAGAAACAAACACCTTCCAAAATAGTGTTTGGGGTTACCTTTCATTTCTAAGCAATAATTTTAAGAGGTCCATGATAAGTGTTATGATGGTCTGTACTTAACAGGTGAGACAGAGCAACAGCCTCAAGCCCTGATTGGCCACAATAGAACAAGTAGCTCAGGATTGTGAAAGAGAACTTCTGCTTTTGCTTGAATCAGGCCAACTAGATTTTAAATCTTTTTTTTTTTTTGCTATTATTAAATGTTTTAAAACTTTTTATTATGGAAAATCTTAAACACACACGAAAGAGTTGATTGTACAATAAATCCTAATATACCGTTCACCCTGCTTTAACATTTAACCAACATGTGACCAGTATTATTTTATCTATAATCCTCCACATTCCCTTTGCTGAATTGGTCATTTTATCTGTCAATACTTTAACCAAGGAAAGAGTTATTTTTTAAAGACATAACCAAAATACCATTTTCTCATCAAAAGAATTTTGTCATTTGCTGTGCCAAAAATTCAAATTTATCTGTTATCTCAATGTCTTTTTATACTGGGTTTGATCAACAGGATCCAAAACAAGTTCTATATCCAGCACTTGGTTTTTGTGAGGTCTTTTCTAACCCAAAAAGCAATAGTTAATTCTTTAATTCAGTGAAGCAGATAGCAGTGTTTTCCTAAGGAAGATATCTGAAACACTTAAAAATCTGGAGGAAAAAAACACGACACAAAATCCTCATGTTAAAAACTCACCAATAGATAACCCACTGTAGAAATGCAGTTACATCTAATGTAAATTCATCTTTTAAAACTTAGGAGTTTGAATTAGAGTATAACTTCTTTCCATAGGTCCAGGGAAGTATTTGAAATTGTACTGAAAAATCCAAAACTTTAAATCAATTCATTAGTACAATAAGCAACTGAAAAAAAAATAGTCTGCATCATCTACACAAAGTTCAGTTTAAGCATTTTAATTATTATGTAAGGAGCACATACTAATTGTAGAGGAGAAAACAAAACAGGGCTAGAAAGATATATTAAAATCGCTACAAATTGGAGATAGCTCTTCAAATGCTCCCTCCCCCACCCCGGGTAATTTTGGTTAATTGCTGAGCTTTAGGAAAACACTTTGGTTAGGCCATCCGGTATTTTTCTTTTTCTTTCTGGCTTATTTCGCTGAGCATGATCCCTTCCAGCTCCATCCATGTTGCTGCAAATGGCATGAATTTATCTTTTTTAATTGCTGAGTAATGTTCAATGATGTATATGTACCACATCTTCTTGATCCAGTCATCTGTTTTTGGGCATTTGGGTTGTTTCCATAGCTTAGCTATTGTAAACAGTGCTGCTATAAACATAGGGGTGCAGGTACCCTTTTGAATGAATGTTTCTGTGTCTTTTGGGTAAATACCTAGGAGTGGAATTGTTGGATCATATGGAAGCTCCATCTTTAGCAGATTGAGGAGCCTCCACACAGCTCTCCATAGTGGTTGGACCAGTTTGCACTCCCACCAGCAGTGCAGGAGAGTTCCTTTTTCTCCACATCTTGTCAACATTTGCTGTTGCTAGTTTTTTTAATATGTGCCATTCTCACTGGTGTGAGATGGTATCTCATGGTAGTTTTGATTTGCATTTCCCTGATTACAAGTGATGTTGAACATTTTTTCATATGCCTGTTGCTCATTTGCATCTCCTGTTTGGAGAAGTTTCTTTTTAGCTCTTCTGCCCATTTTTTGACTGGATTATTTACTTTGTTTTTGTTGAGTCTCATCAGCTCTTTGTCAATTTTTGTGATCAGTCCTTTATCATTAGTGTTGCGTGCAAAAAATTTCTCCCAATCCGTAGGGTGTCTGTTTTGGTTACTGTCTCTTTGCTGTACAGAAGCTCTTTAATTTGATGTAGTCCCAGCTGTTTATCTTTGCCTTCACTATCACTGCTTTGGGTGATGTGTCTTAATTTATTTATTTTTTTAAAGATTTATTTATTTTTATACAAGAACTGGGGTAAAGGCCAGTTGTGTGGGAGGGTGAGAGGATTCACCAGAGACAGAGCGGGGAACAGAACAGGCAGACTGACTGAAATACACTGCTGAGGGGAGCAGCGGGCGAGACAGGAGAGGTCTGATGCGCCACGTGGGACCCTCACCTGCCTGCCGGCCAGGATCGAAACGGCACTGCAGAGGCTATGGACAGTTTCACAGTGTGGTGCTCAACTGCCTTCGCCACCAGGGGAGACCCGGGTGATGTGTCTTTAAAGATGTTACTGAGGTATAGGTCATGTAGTATTTCACCTATATTTCCTTCTACATATTTTATGGTTTCAGATCTTATGTCTAGTTCTTTAATCCATAGCAGGAATTTAGAAAACCTAAATAAGGGACCAGGAAAAAGACTAATTACAATAAATTAAAAATCAAAATCAACAAGCAACTATAAACCAGAGACACACTGGGGGGGGGAGGGAGAAGGATCAAAACAAAGGGGGGTGGGAATTGTATGGGGACTATAACCAAGATGCATACAAAATGCACAATTGTGCAAAAATGAAAAATGATGTAAAAAATATATAAAATTTAAAAATAATAAATAGAAGTCAATTGTAATGCAAAAAAAAAGAAAATTGAACAGAAGAATACAACAAATATTCAGTTAAGATATGTAAATGGCTAATAAAATATGAAAAAATGAAAAAAAAGAAAAAAATACTTTGGTTAAAACTAAAGGACAAAGTTAACAAAATACCCTATTGTCCA